GTGTGTGTGTGTGTGTGTGTGTGTGTGTGTGTGTGTGCTTCTGTCTGTGCTTGTCTGTCTGTTTGTCTGTCTGTATGTTCATTCACCTATGTGGGTGTACAAAAGCTGGCATGCCTTCGCAGGCAGATGAAGATAGAGCTGGCTCAACAGCTCAAGAAAATGAGCATTTGCAAGAAGATCAAGTGAGTGCACCTTCCTACCTTGTCCATATATTGATCTCTGTACTCCTTGGTGGCAAGAATTGGGAAACAAAAAAAGAAAGAGCTCCAGCTGACCATCTAGCAATATACTGCCTAATAGTGCCCATGGAATTGTAAGCAACCAATTCCTGCACCGCGTTCGGTCCCCCTCCTAACTAGTGCTATCGCTTAGGAGGGTCAAAATGCAGTATGCCAGGCCCGTTAGCTCAGCAAATTTGCCGAGGGGACGCCCATGTCCACTGCTGATGCTGTCCTCTCTTAGCTAGTGGTATCACTTAGGAAGTTAGGAGGGTCAAAATGCAACATCCCAGCCCCTTTAGCTCAGCAAATTTGCCTGTCCCCCCGCTACGATATGTCGACCCGTGGCTTAAAACAAAGTAAAAAAAAAAAAAGCTTATAGTTCTATTGGCCTTGTAGCTGTATTACCAACTGGGCCGCCGGGATCACCTTTGTTGCCTGGGCGGCCAAGCCGGGCAAGGGTCAGGGAAGGTCCCTGTTAAAAAAAAAAAAAAAAAAAAAAAAAAAAAATCCGAAAAAGAAAACTACGTTGTGCAGAAAAATGAAATAAACAACTTTTGCCTCAGGGTTGGATCGAAATTCCTTTGCCAATTTTTTTTCCCCCTTTTTTTCTTTTTCCTTTTGGGCCCAGCCGGGCAAAGTGGTCCCGGGACAGTCTGGTAATATAGCCATGTAGGTTATTAACTTATTAGTACTTGTTACCTTTTAATCGGTTTTTCATGTGGAACTATAGAAGGTATACAGTCTTTACTGATAGGTGTTTATAATACTTATTTATGTAATAATCTCCATCAATGACTTAGGAATAATTTTAGCTTAACGCCAAAATCGTTTAAAAATATTTAGCGTATTAAGCTGTGTTAGCGTCGATGAATCCTATTTTGATGCTGTCTGCTCCCCACAGCTCATGGCGTACATCTGGCAAACGATTCCCCAGACCGTGCGAAGGGTGAGGCACTTGCCAGAAGCATAATGACCAAGATTATATTAGCATGTCAAAAGAAAAGAAAAGATGCTGACCATATATAGTGAAGATCAAACATAATAAATAGATAGAAATAAAAATAACTAAGCCAGATCAGCACAATGCCAATGCCAAGCAGTGCAAACCCGAAATGGTGTCTTTGAGTAAAATGACCCACGTCCTGCTGAAGACAAGATGAGAAAAATGTTCCCATGATCACAGATAAGTACTATTTACTAAGCATCTGAACTGCATCAATGCTAGATTGATTCCTCACCTGTGAAAAATTACGCGGGGTAATCTAATAACTTAATAAGAGGTAAGGACAGGTGAGATGATACTAAGATCCCATACCACAGCGGTGTGGAGCACGAGCCGATAATCCTACGTCTTTTGACATAAGGTCCAGGATAGCAAAGCAGAAGAAGCTTCTTTAAAATGAACAAGTTATTAGAGGTAAAGGAAAGGGAGAGAGGGAGGGGAGGGAGGGGAGGG